TATGTGGTGATGGGTTGTCATTAGTATTTGGGTGGTGAACATGATGTAATCTATGCAGAAATAGAAGTATAATGATGTACACCTGAAATTTATACAACGTTATAAACCAATGTTACTGCAATAAACAAAAATAAATAAATAAATAAAAATAAAAACAATAAAAACTAAGAAAATCTGAAAAAAAAAATAGAATCTAGATTAAAAAAATCCTCCAACCACTTTCTCCTTCATTTCCTGTCTTCATTTTACTGAAATAAAATAGTTGTTGAAAAGCTATTGCGTGCCGAGAGCTGGGATAGGCATAGGGAAAAAAAGAAAATAAAGTACACAGAGTGTCTGCCTAGGGCATTTGCAAGCTCTGGTGGGAGATGACACCATAATAGTGGCATAAAGTGCTGGGCTTACTGGAGGGCTACCAGAGGAGGCTTCATGGAAGAGATGGCATTTACCAGGGATGGACTGTGCTTACTCAGCTTTATTCACTTGCCTAACACCTGGAGGGGAGAACACATGCTTGCTGCTTCCTGTCACAGTCTGGACATTCCCTGGGGTCCCAGGCAGGCTATAAGGCAGATTCCCCCCAAAACACAGCCACATGGACTTCACTGCACTCATCTACATTCCTTCTGTGGAAGTAATGCTGTGACCTCTTTGTGGGAGAACTTTTGTTAATCTTCTACCTTTTACATCTTGGTAACAAGGTATTTATGACCAACTCTTGGAATGCTATGCAACACCATGGTAGAGGTGAAAGTTTAATCCTGAGTCCCGGGACATCTCTGGAATCTACCCACCTGGAGAAGGTGCTACCCTCACAGAATACAGACACTGAAGCATCTTGACAGAGATCAGAGTGCTTAAAATTCACGTTGGCCCAGCAAGTCCACGCCTAGGCATTTACCCAAAGAGAAATGAAAACATAAGTTCACAGAAAGACTTGCATGAGAATATTCACTGAAGCTTTATTTATAACCATCAAAAACTAGAAACCACCCAAATGTCCAACACTGCTGGATGGATAAACAAATTGTGGTATATCCACACAATGAAATATTACTCAGCAATATGAAGGAATGGACAACTAATACAACATGGATAAATCTCAAAAGCATTATGCTGAGCGAAATAGGCCAGACATGAAAGACTGCACATTCTAGGATTTCACTTTTATGAAATTCCAGAGAAGAAAAAACTACAGTTCCAAATAGCAGATGAGTGGCTACCAGGGGGCAGGGGAGTGGAGGAGATGGACTGCAAAGGGGCACAAGGGTGATGGAAATATTTTATATTATGATTGTGGTAGTGGTTCCATTACTGTATACATTTTTCAAAACTCATCAAACTGTACACCTAAATTTGGTAAACTCACTTTATGTAGATTATACCTCAACAAAGCTGATTTTTAAGAAAAAATCAGGCTCGGCTGGGGTAGGGTGGAGCATTCCCAGCTGGAAGATGGCAGTGGCCCTTGGAAAGCTGTCTGAGCCAGGACTACTTCAGCCCTCTGGCTGCTGCAGCCCCAAGAACTCATCTGCCTCGATGCTTTAGCCTCAGACCCTGACACCCCCTGGCTGCTTCAGACTAAGGCTCCCAATAACTCATGCGCACCCTGCCACCCACCCTCAGGGCCAGAAGCAGCCTGCTCACCCAGACAACTGATAATATGTTACCCTAAACTCCTTCCACCCTGGACTAGCAACATTAAAATGGCAACACCTTATCCTGGAACTCCTGACTGAGGAAAATACTTGGTAAGGATTACACTTTAAGGAGTCTGACTATTCAGTACTTGGAATATAGACTCTTGGCTCTTCTGTTGTTATCAATTTCCTAAGGGGCAAAGGGCTGGGCTTGTTTTTTTGCTTGTTTTCTCAACACTTGAAACTATAGTTTCTCTATAGCTGTCTGACTTCCTATGGTCCTACTGAGATCTTGCTTTTCCATTATCCCTGTGGCTACAACCCCAAGGCTGAGGCACATCCAGGTCCTTGAAGCAGGTAATTTGGGAAGGGAGAAAAGTGTCCCCAACATAAAACAAATCTTTACTGCAGCCCAGCCCTCAAGTCTGGGAGAGGTCCTGAGTCAGGACACGTGTAAAAGGTTTGTTTCTCCATCACCAAACTCCATCCCTATTCACTTTTTCCTTCATCTCATTGATCTCCTTAATCAAAACACAAGTCTTAAATTCCTGAATAGCTTTAGTTTTTAGTGCTATTTTTAGAATTTCAATAACTACTAATAAAGGAAATTTGTACCAGAAACTTCATAAAAACTTTTTTGTACACTTGATGTCATACAAAGTAAACTGACATTCAATGAGCACCTGTATGTGCCAAACACTGTACTAGGCTATTTGATGTGCATTATCTAATCTAGTCCTCACAATAATCCTGTTAGTTACACACATCATCTCTTCCTTTGCAGGTAAGTTCTGTAAGACTCAGAGAATAAGTAACCTGCCAAAATTATTACTATTTTTTTTGTATGTGAGGAAGATCAGCACTGAGCTAACATCCATGCCAATCCTCCTCCTTTTTTTTTCCCTTTCTCTCCCCAAAGCCCGAGTAGATAGTTGTATGTTGTAGTTGCACATCTCGCTAGTTGCTGTATGTGGGACACCGCCTCAGCATGGTCAGAGAAGCGGTGCTTCGGTGCGCGCCCGGATCCGAACCCAAGCCGCCAGTAGCGGAGCACCCGCATTTAACTGCTAACCCACGGGGCTGGCCCCCCCCCAAAATTATTTAACCTTCAGCTAGTATAGATTCTGGATCTGCCTCTAGAACTATTTGATTTTCCAGCTTTGCTAAGACAAAAAAGAAAAACCTCTAGAAATTGCACATAAACTGTGGTTTACAGCTTGTTTTAATATTCATAAGGTCCTGGGTTTGAGTCCCTTCTCAGCCACCTACTAGCTGTGTGGACTTCAGGCAAGTGAGTTTCCCTATACATTAGTTTCCTCACTTGTAAAATGAAGAAAATAGATCCTACTTGAGTGAGCTTATGGATCAAATAGGATAATTCACACAATAAGCACAATAACTGTTAGCTATTGGTGTGATCTCAAATGCCAAGCTGGCTCCAAATGAAATCAATACAACACGTATGTATAAATGCTGCCTTCAGCTATTCGGAGGTTGAATTTCCACACCATGGATCCTATTCTGTCCTTCAACTAGTCCTGCCTTTCTTCAGTCAATGTAGTAAAACTTTTTTTTTTTTTTGTGAGGAAGATCAGCCCTAAGCTAACATCCATGCCCATCTTTTTGCTGAGGAAGACTGGCCCTGAGCTAACATCCATGCCCATCTTCCTCTACTTTATACGGGATGCCGCCACAGCACGGCCTGACAAGCGGTGTAGGTGTGCGCCCGGGATCCAAACCCGGGCCGCCAGCAGCAGAGCACGCACACTTAACCGCTACGCCACGGGCCGGCCCCAATGGAGTAAAACTTTTAATAGGAAAAAATATATATGAAGTGTCTGCCTTTAATGGGTCTACGAGGACCATCTCTGCAGACTCACATTCTCTCTTTCCCAAACTATCTCTAAAAAGCTGAAACTTAGGACCAGCCCTGGTGGCCAGTCATTTAGTTCGGCACACTCCACTTCTGCAGCCCAGGTTTGGTTCCCTGGCGTGGACCTACACCACTCGTCTATCAGTGGCCATGCTGTGGGTGTGGCTCACATATAAAATGGAGGAAGATTAGCAACGGATGTTAGTTCACGGTGAATCTTCCTCAGCAAAAAGAGGAAGATTGGCAACAGATGTTAGCTCAGGGAGAACCTTCCTCAGCAACAAATGAAAATAAAAATAAAAAATAATTAAATAAAAAACTGAAACTTAACCACAAGACCCTATTCCCAGACAGCCCATCCGCCTCCTTCACTCACCTGCTCTGGATACTTGCTACCAACGATCTCTGCTACAGTGTTGAAGGAATCAGCATCCGGGTAGTTCTTTGCCTCCATCTTCAGCTGAACAACAATTCTGTTCCCACGAGAAGCCATTCTTGACATCATTTCTGCATCTTCCACTGTAATACAGGCTGTTGGGATCTTTGGCACACCATCCTGGTATTCCTGAATACCTGTGTGAGGACTTGAGAAAAGAAGCTACCAGGTTACCTTAAAAGTGAAAATGGACCAAAAGTACTTTTTAAAAATGTCTGTAATCAAACAATCACATAGAGACAGAGATTGGATTGGCGGTTACCAGAGGGGAAGTGGGGAGAGAGGTGGGTGACAGGGATGATTAGGCACATGTGTGTGGTGATGGACTGTAATTAGTTTTTGGGTGGTGAACATGATGTAATCTATACAGAAATTCAAATATAATGATGTACACCTGAAATTTATATAATGTTATAAATTAATGTTACCACAATAAAAAATAAATAAAAAACAAAAGTGTCTGTATTTGACATGTGACTTTCACTGATCTTTGTCTGCATTTGAAGAAAAGAATGGGTGGGTAATATTGGTTTATTTGCTTTTGATGTAAATGTGATTTTTCTTTATGGTAAAAATAACTTATAAATTTAATAATCATCTCATTAAAAACATTACATGAAGTTTATTTTGATAATTTGGATGATCCTTTAAAATTGCAAATTGCCTCAAACTCAGAAGAACATTAATAGTGTCTTTATGACCAAAAGGGAACACATGTGTTCAAGAAGACAGCGGGAGCTCTGAAGCCCATCAGGAGACCCAAACATCTGGAACAAAACTGGCCCAGGCATACCCAGCTCTCTGGTCACTGACTGGTTCTGGGGCTACTCCCTTCTCACCCAAACACAGAGGTCTGAATACGTAGCTTTGCAATGGTGGTAGAACACTTGGTAGGAAAACTGAAGAACAATGGGAAATGTTTGTATTCCCATGAGGAAAAGTACTGAATAACCCCAGGTTCCTGACTTTACTGTCACAAGAAAAAGAAAACTATTATAATTTTGGTACTAAAGGAGAAGTATTACCCCAAATGGTCAAGTCTTTCCTGATAATTTCCAGATGCTTCTTACATTACCAGAAACACTTGTGATTGAAGCTTATATTAATCTACTGTTGATTTAATCTCTGTACATGCTAATTGAGTTTATCAAACTCATTTTCTAAAATTCCTCTTTCAAACTGTCCCTTTTTACCCCTGAGGTACAACTCCAAACTCTCCCAGACCACAATTCCCTTGGGACCAAGAAGGCACAGCTTCTGAGTGCATACCACATCCTATCGGTCTATTCTCATCTTCTGTTAAAGCACAAGCTAATAGACTCCCTTTTAAAATTAATTTTTCTTTTCATATTTCCATATTTGTTTCATACTGCCTCATATTTACAGAAAAGCCTTTCTCCTCCTTTCAGCCACAACACATTTCTCTCCTATAGAAGTGACTCCAACCTTCACATGCATCAACACAGTGATCTAGTCTTATCATTGTTTTCTTGATGTGACTGTATTGTTGTGACCATTTGTCAGGTGACTATTTACTTACTTAGAGAAATTACATAGCAAAATGATTAAGAACAGAGGCTCTGGAGCAAGACTGTCTAGGTTTAAATCTGGGCTATGCCACTTATTGCTAATTGACCTTGGGAAAGTTACACATCTTTGGTTTAGTGTCATCTATAAATGGAGGTGATAATAATAATATCTATTTCATAGGGTTATTTTGCAGATTCGATTAATTTATACAAGAAAATCACTTACCCTGGAACATAGTAAGCACTCAATAAATGCTAAATATTTATTTTATTAATTTGTCTATTACATTTTCCTAGCAGAGACAGACTGTCTAATTTCAAGTCCTTAATACCATCTGAGTACACCTTTTATGAACATTTCTTAAATGTTAAAGGAAAATGTTATTCTTCATCAGGAGAGAACAAATGACTTATAAACTCAAAACCTATAACACAGAAACCCTGGGAATCTGAATCCCTGCTCTGGACCATGCCTCATCCACTCTAACTTCCGGTTCAGGGAAGGCTATGGAGTCACATAACCCAGATCAAATTCTGGCTCTGCCATTCTCTACCTGCATAACACCAAGCAGCTTAGATTACCTCTCTGTTTCTGAGTTCCACATCTGTAAAGTGGCCAATAATACTCGTGGTGACCTCATAAGATTGCTATGAGAAATAGAAGAGATACTATATGTAAAGGATTTAAAACTATATTTGGTATATAGTAATTATTTAGTAAACACTCATTGTTATTTCTTCAGTGCTAATTTTTCCCACTGAGTTGGTAGAGTGATTAATGACCAAAAGTACTTTGAAACATGTAGGAAGACAATCTAAATATTTATTATTCATATTACTTTACGTGATGTCTAGGATTCAACAAACTCTCCTTGTTCTCAGACTCTCTTACTCAAGAGGAGGCCAGTATAACTCTTCTTAATAGCTCTTTTAAATAATGTTTCTAAACAAACTTGTACTAATAAGTTACAGGTAAGAATTCTCACAGCGCAGGGAGCTAGGCATGCACCCAGGGCTCCAGTGAGGAAAATAGCACTGAAAGTCATCTTCCGACTGTAGTTCTGAATTCAAAATATAAAAGCCTTCTAATTTGTTTCTACAATCAAGCATGTCCTCCAGTTGTGGAGTATCCAGCACTGTTTAGTAGAAGTAGGCAGAATGAAGACTTGACAATTTTATTTGGAGTCCTGTACTTTCACTGTCAATTGTCCTACAAGTGATGACCAGTCTAAACACTACCTTCCTGCCCCCACTTACAAGCACCACCTGCAATTTAACAATACCAAAGGGTAAACTATTAAGGAAGCCATAAAAAATCAAAATTTAAAGATTAATACCAGTTCTTCATAAACTCTTCAAAAAAATACAAGAGGAGAGAAAAGTTACCAACTCATTCTACAAGGCCACTATCACTGATATCAAAACCAGACAAAGACATCAAAAGAAAAGAAAACCACAGACCAACCTCTATTATGAATATATATGCAAAGAAATCTTCAACAAAATACAAGCAAACTGGGGCCGGCCCAGTGGCATAGTGGTTAAGTTCACGAGCTCCACTTCAGTGGCCCAGGATTTGTGGGTTTGGATCCCAGGTGTGGACCTACACACCACTCATCAAGCCATGCTGTGGCAGTGTCCCACATACAAAATAGAGGAAGACTGGGCAAAGATGTTAGCTCAGGAACAATCTTCCTCAACACACACACACACACACACACACACACACACACACAAAAATATATATATATATATACACTGATACCAGCAACACCTGAAAAGGATTATAACCATGAGCAAGTGGGATTTATCCCAGAAATGCAGGGTTTGTTTAACAGTCAAAAATAAATCAATGTTGGGGCCGGCCCGTGGCGTAGTGGTTAAGTGCGTGCGCTCCACTGCTGGTGGCCCGGGTTCAGATCCTAGGTCTGCACCGAGGCACCGCTTGTCAGGCCATGCTGTGGTGGCATCCCACATAAAGTGGAGGAAGATAGACACAGATGTTAGCCCAGGGCCGGTCTTCCTCAGCAAAAAGAGGAGGACTGCATGGATGTTAGCTCAGGGCTGATCT